CATCTGTGTGTGTGTGTGTGTGTGTGTGTGTGTGTGTGTGTGTGTGTGTGTGTGTGTGTGTGTGTGTGTGTGTGTGTGTGTGTGTGTGTGTGTGTGTAGGTCATTTTATGTTAACATAATTTAAGATAAAATAACGAATATTAAAATTCTGACGGTATAAAAATCGGGTAGATACACACGAGGTGAATGCGTACAAAAACACCTGTTCTGTTTGGAGTTATAAATTCCCCAGTAGAAACGCCCATTACCAGGTCAGGTGTGGTCTTCACCACCACACCTTAACTGAGAGGTCACCACCACGTATTCAGCTAAGCTGACATACCTACATAATAACCATCAGACACTATCTGGTCTAGTAATCTTACTGGACTACAATAACTTCGTTATCAACGTCGACTGGGCAGTTCATTACTGACTGTACGTTACCACCTTCTGTCATGCAACATGTACGTCCTACGCACGTTGTTTCCCGTCATTATAATACTGAAATAGCGTTAACGTCTGTCAATGCGGGACGCACTGACAAAATTCAACAGACGTAAACACCTGTGAGTTTGTTACTAGCAGGCTTCCAGCCTAAGGCCAGGGTTTCTTTTTCACTGCATGGTCAACCAGGCTGTTGTTACTTTCCCCTCAGACGCACACCCCTATCACAACCTGGCACTTGTAGCAGCTAGTGGTTTAGTATCCTCTTGAAAACTTCTACGTGGTTCAAGCAATATTTCTGATATTTACTAAGAGCAAGCTGAATAGTTGGTGGACTAAGGATGTTGATACTGCGTTTTGTAATTGTGCCTATGGTGCCCCTTAAAAAAACCTCGCTTTCCTCATGCATGAAGCGTAAAGCGGAGGATGGACCGAGTTATAATATTCTTCTGCAGTGAACGACTATTTTTTTTTTTTGATCGGCAGTAATGATCATTTATCAACTGTAATTTATAAATCTTAGGTAACCCAATGAAACTATTATCAATATTTTCCACTCAAAGGCAAAACTCTGGACGGAGACAAATGTACACACAAGTGTGCTAACAGGTACTGCAGCTGTTATTAGCTCTCCACGGTCATGAATCTCAGTCTTCTATTAACAACAGTACCTTTTCGAATATAGAAAGTACAGTCATCCATCAGTAAGACTTTTCAATCACACAACACGACTAAATCCAAACTTATACTCCATACGAGCAGCGGATCCATCAAGGAGAGGAGGGAGCACCTTCAGGCCCATCTGCTCTGATTTTATTCACAAACCACCAGAACCGTTAAACTATTTACCATTCTAAACATATTCCCAGTCTAACATTACCAAACTTACTAAATTTCTACTCTTGTGAAGAACTCGCATCATATTACATTTCAATCAGAGAGCAAGTAACTATTACAAGTTTATTTCTCACATTCCACAATCCATATCTATAATCCGTACTATGTTATCGGCAGTAAGAATCAAAATTTATATCACCATCATTTATGAGGAAAAAGATGCTGGTTTCTTAGTCAGAAAGCATTCTGTGAAAAAGTGTGGCGCCCTTTCCAGAGGAAAGACCCTTACCCCTAGCACAAACCACTCAACTATCACCATTGCTTTACGGTGACTTAGTGTAGGGGGGGAGGGGGGTCGAGGGGGGCCGGAAGGGGTCTTGTTGCTGGTGAAGCGCTCTTGATCCAAAGGATTCGGGTTATCTTCCCCTTCCTTGCATTAAAATAGGTTACCTCCCATTTTCCGGAACGCACTGTATGAACCAAAAAGGTTTAACAGTGTGTGTGTGTGTGTGTGTGTGTGTGTGTGTGTGTGTGTGTGTGTGTGTGTGTGTGTGTGTGTGTGTGTGTGTGTGTGTGTGTGTGTGTGTGTATGTGTGTGCGCGCGCGCGCTCTCAGGATAGATATGTTAATGGTAGAAGGCTCCCGGGCTGAGGCTTCGAGTGCCTACTGGGCCACCAGTGTCTACCAGTAATGAGCGAATCAAAGCACAGTTCCTATGACCACTACCAACTGAACCCCCAATGGAAGAACATAAGAAGGAACACTGCAGCAGGCCTACTGGCCCATGAGAGGCAGGTCCAATTCTCCTACCGGCTTAAGCCAACTCCCTAACCTAGTCAAATCAAGTCACATTCACTTAAGGAAGGAGCACGGCATCTGACCTAGTAGCACAAGCTAGTCAGGTCCAACTCACACCCACCCACACCCACTCATGCATTTATCTAACCTATTTTTAAAACTACACAACGTCTTAGCTTCCATGATGGTACTCGGGAGTTAGGTCCACTCATCCACAACTATTACCAAACCTATATCCTTCCTGAATCTGAATTTTTCCAACTTAAAGCCAATGCTGCGACTCCTATCTAGGCTAGATATTTTTAGCACGCTATTTACATCCCCTTTATTCCTGGTTTCCATTTATACACCTCGATTATATCCCCCCTAATTCTACGCCTTTCGAGAGAGTGCAGATTCAGGGACCTCAGTCTATCCTCATAGGGAAGATTTCTGATACACGAGATCAACTTTGTCATCCTCCTCTGTACGTTTTCCAGAGCATTTATATCCATTCTGTAATACGGTGACCAAAACTGTGCAGCATAATCTAAATGAGGCCTAACCAAGGATATATAGAGTTGAAGAACAATCTGAGGATTTCTATTATTTATACTTCTTGATAAGAAGCCAAGGATTCTGTTAGCTTTATTGTGAACATTTATGCAGTGTTCTCTTGGTTTCAGTAATTAGTATAGACCAGACTTCCTGACCAGTCAGGTGTTCTTGTGAGCGCATGTCTACAAGAGCAGTTTTTCGTTTGTAGATTTTGCTTCGATGCAGACTTTTAAATTTCATTATAGTAATTAGTTTAACAGGTACCTCACATTAAAATTAGTGTTGAATTTAAATGCACTCAAAACTGCAGCTAATTTCTAGCTGTGTTGGGAGTAGCAAGATTTTTTTTTTCAAATACAAAAATCACACAACCTTGTGTGATACGTACTTATGACAACCAGCTTCCCGAGTTTCCATCCCTCTACCCTTCTTCTAGCAATATTTCTGATACCTAGTGGTAGCAGGATGAACAGTCGATAAATTAGACACATGTGCAACTCTTGGGTATCTTTATTGAGGAAACGTTTCGCCACACAGTGGCTTCATCAGTCCATACAAAGGAGAATCTTGCCTAATTCTTGGGCACGACCTACTTCAACATTGAACAAGTGTTACACCACCTATGACTGCTACACCTCTCCTGCCAACGGTTTATAAGCTCCTTCTCAGCACGTATGCCGTATTCTATTCAAGATTGATGGACTGACCACATCGACTCAAGGTTGAGGGACTGATTACCTCATTCTCCTCCTGTTCTTCAAGATTCTCCTTTGTATGGACTGATGAAGCCACTGTGTGGCGAAACGTTTCCTCAATAAAGATACCCAAGAGTTGCATATGTGTCTAATTTATCAACATGTCGGTTCTCTGAACCATTCATCTACAAAGGATGAACAGTCAATGACCATGCACATTGACACTTATCTTGCTGTACCCACAGCTCTGCTCTTCTTCACTGGAGTCATTTTACACTTCAATATTTCTCACTCCAGTACACAGTTATGGAAATGTGAAAATTGTGGACTAATTCCCCAAGTGTACACGTACACATAGTCATGCTCAAGGATGTATATATTAAGGTGTTTCCATGTTATTTGTACATGCTCCAGATCTAATGTTTCGCCTTAAACAGAGCCATCAACACTGACCCGTGAAAAAGAGCACAAGTGATTTGACCAGTGTCACCGCTGGCATTTCTCTTGTTTTGAAAGTTCTCATTATGCCCCCTTTTATTTTTCTGGCTTTCGCAACATTAGCCTTATTGTGTTTTCTAAATGATATGTCAGCTGACATTATTTTACCCAAATTTTTCACCCGTTCCTTTCGTTTTATTAGGTGGTCCTCCTATGTATTATATGCACTACCCCTTCGAGTTCTTCACTCTTTCCATATCTAAACGGTTGGAATTCGGCACCACCGAACAGGATAAGTGGTACAACATACCGACAAAATGTAAATAAGAGAATACTGGGGTAATATGTTCGGATTACCCGAACATTCTGTTATTGATGCCATAACATGCACACTGTACTTTAAACTGTCCAATGTAAGACTTTGTTTATATCCTCTTGCAAGTTTTTCCTGTCTTCTGCCGAGCTGACTTCCATGCTTATTGTTGTATTGTCCGCTAATGAATAAGAACTAATGGATAAAAACAGTAAAGGAGCAAGGACTGTGCCTTGGGGTACTGAACATTTCGCTTCGTTTACTTTTACTATGAAATATTAATCAGGAAACTTAATATTTATTTGCTTATTTTTCCACTTACTCTCACCGACACCATCTTACGTGTTATCACTGCCTGAAGACATTTTTCAAGTGTCTTCGCAAAATCCGTGAAGATCACATCTGGATTTTTGGTTTAGCAGTTGTGACCAGTATGATCTTCCCAGAAATCCAGGCTGGTTTGGGTTGTGCAGGTAATGTTTTTCCAAAAAGTTTGTAATTTAGTGTCCCATCATTCTTTCAAAATACTTATGTGTGATGTTAGTACTACTGGTTTATTTAATTTGTCAAACCTCTATGGCTTTCTTTGTGCAGAGGAACGATGTACTTTTTTTAAAGTCTCTGGAATTTCACTTAGATTTAAGCTCTTCCTCTAAAGAATACAGAGTGTTCGTGATGGTGGTATTTTGCATTTCTTTATAAAGAACTCCGTCAATCCAGCCCAGATGCTGCATGTGTGGGCATGTTTGTTTTATTTTAAAATTCAATGGCATAAACTACCTGAAATATATCACAACTAACCTACAAACTGGAGATGGAAGTACATGACATTTCGGTCCTTCCAGAACCATTATCAAGTAGCGAGTGACTAAACCATTTACCAAGATATGAAACGTTCTTATAGTTTCATCTACTCTTAGATGTAAAATGTGTGTTTATGAATGTTATTCCGGCAGGTGTATGGGCCTGAGGTGATCTCTGGAGGAGAGCCGCCAGCATGAAGGCTGTGTGGGCGTGGACGGTGCTGCTGCTGGTGCTGGTGGTGACCGCCGGCGTCACCGAGGCCAAGCGAGGCAAGGGGCGAGGCAAAAAGGGACGCAAGAACATGGGCAACCGTGGCAGCATTTTCAAGTTTAAGTCTGAAGACAGCCGCGCCTACTATACCAATAATGGTGTAAGTGCCACAAAAATTCAACAGTGCCATACTGGCACTACAAGTGCCACAATACAACAGTGCTATATGCCACTAAAACAATGCCTCACACTACAAGTGCCTTATTCACCTCAGAAGTGCCACACAACACTACAACAGTGCCATACACTACCACAGTGCCACACAACACTACCACAGTGCCACACAACACTACCACAGTGCCACACAACACTACAAAAGTACTAGACTACTATTATTCACCTACAAAACAGTACCACACCATCATTCACCTACAATCATGTGTGCTGTTCTCTCATATATACCGTCATGTGTGATGCTTTCTCATATATACCATCATGTGTGTTCTCTCATATATACCATGTGTAATGCTCTCTCATATATACCATCATGTGTACTGCTCTTTCATATATACCATCATGCGTGATGTTCTCTCATATATACCATAATGTGTGCTGTTCTCTCATATATACCATGTGTACTGCTCTCTCAAATATACCAACAATCATGTGTTCCACGCTCCTCTCTCATATATACCAACAATCATGTGTTCCACGCTCCTCATATAACAATCATGTGTTCCACGCTCATATATACCAACAATCATGTGTTCCACGCTCCTCATATATACCAACAATCATGTGTTCCACGCTCCTCTCTCATATATACCAACAATTATGTGTTCCACGCTCCTCTCTCATATATACCAACAATCATGTGTTCCACGCTCCTCATATATACCAACAATCATGTGTTCCACGCTCCTCATATATACCAACAATCACGTGTTCCACGCTCCTCTCTCATATATACCAACAATCATGTGTTCCACGCTCCTCTCTCATATATACCAACAATCATGTGTTCCACGCTCCTCATATATACCAACAATCATGTGTTCCACGCTCCTCATATATACCAACAATCATGTGTTCCACGCTCCTCATATATACCAACAATCATGTGTTCTACGCTCCTCATATATACCAACAATCATGTGTTCCACGCTCCTCTCTCATATATACCAACAATCATGTGTTCCACGCTCCTCATATATACCAACAATCATGTGTTCTACGCTCCTCATATATACCAACAATCATGTGTTCCACGCTCCTCATATATACCAACAATCATGTGTTCTACGCTCCTCATATATACCAACAATCATGTGTTCCACGCTCCTCATATATACCAACAATCATGTGTTCTACGCTCCTCATATATACCAACAATCATGTGTTCCACGCTCCTCTCTCATATATACCAACAATCATGTGTTCTACGCTCCTCATATATACCAACAATCATGTGTTCCACGCTCCTCTCTCATATATACCAACAATCATATGTTCCACGCTCCTCTCTCATATATACCAACAATCATGTGTTCTACGCTCCTCATATATACCAACAATCATGTGTTCCACGCTCCTCATATATACCAACAATGTGTTCTACGCTCATATATACCAACAATCATGTGTTCTACGCTCCTCATATATACCAACAATCATGTGTTCCACGCTCCTCATATATACCAACAATCATGTGTTCTACGCTCATATATACCAACAATCATGTGTTCTACGCTCCTCATATATACCAACAATCATGTGTTCTACGCTCCTCATATATACCAACAATCATGTGTTCTACGCTCCTCATATATACCAACAATCATGTGTTCCACGCTCCTCTCTCATATATACCAACAATATAAGAATGACTGCCAAACAAAATTCAACAATTTTTGCTTCTGAAGAAATACGAGTATTTTTCACCACAAGAAACACAACAAAGTGTTAACGATGGTCCCCACAGTCTGGTCCCAGACCTGTCCTCCCTACTGACGCCATGATCACTCAGGCTGTTGCTGCTTCATGCACCCACTTCAACGCAGGCACCACAGCCTGGCTGGTCACGAATTTCTGTCAATCATCAAGTTACCTTCTGCAGACGGGGTTTGTCCGCCCCCCCCTCACATTTGAGGCAGCTTACTGAAAACTATGGCAGTCCTACAGAATTATTGTACATTTGTCAGAGTTTTTGTAGGTTTGTTAAAATATCTGACAAGACGTCAAGAAACTGTTAATTATAAACAAACTATGCAGTGGATGGTGTTGAAACCTGTCGTCTTCCTACTGAACCTTCTATCAATAACTTGCACACTGCAAGTGTCGGTATAGTTTGGGCTAGTTTACATACTGAGCATATTTTTGTCTAATTTGCGGAAGTGTCGGTGTATTCTTGCCTAGTTTCCGGAAGTGTCGGTGTATTCTTGTCTAATTTACGGAAGTGTCGGTGTATTCTTGCCTAGTTTTACGGAAGTGTCGGTGTATTCTTGCCTAGTTTCCGGAAGTGTCGGTGTATTCTTGTCTAATTTACGGAAGTGTCGGTGTATTCTTGCCTAGTTTCCGGAAGTGTCGGTGTATTCTTGCCTAGTTTCCGGAAGTGTCGGTGTATTCTTGTCTAATTTACGGAAGTGTCGGTGTATTCTTGCCTAGTTTCCGGAAGTGTCGGTGTATTCTTGCCTAGTTTCCGGAAGTGTCGGTGTATTCTTGTCTAATTTACGGAAGTGTCGGTGTATTCTTGCCTAGTTTCCGGAAGTGTCGGTGTATTCTTGCCTAGTTTCCGGAAGTGTCGGTGTATTCTTGTCTAATTTATTTAACTATCGTTACATTCGCCTAATTTGCCTAAGTGTCGGTATATTATATCATAAATATCCAAAAATACTACCTGGAGTATACCTGGAGGGTATTCCAGGGGTCAACGCCCCCGCGCAAGGTCCATGATCAGGCCTCACGGTGGATCAGGGACTGATCAATCAGGCTGTTACTGCTGTCCTCAATAACTACATGCATGTGTAGAAGAGTACATGCACGTATGTACAGCAGAATGTATGCTTTTACGTACAGAAGCATGCATGTTTGTATATATAGCAGCATACATGCTTGTATGAATAGCAGCATACATACTTGTATAGCAGCATACATGCTTGTATGAATAGAAGCATACATGCTTGTATGAATAGAAGCATACATGCTTGTATGAATAGAAGCATACATGCTTGTATGAATAGAAGCATACATGCTTGTATGCAAAGAAGCATACATGCTTGTATGAATAGAAGCATACATACTTGTATAGCAGCATACATGCTTGTATAGGAGCATACATGCTTGTATGAATAGAAGCATACATACTTGTATGAATAGAAGCATACATGCTTGTATGCAAAGAAGCATACATGCTTGTATGAATAGCAGCATACATACTTGTATAGCAGCATACATGCTTGTATAGGAGCATACATGCTTGTATGAATAGAAGCATACATACTTGTATGAATAGAAGCATACATGCTTGTATGAATAGAAGCATACATGCTTGTATGAATAGAAGCATACATGCTTGTATGCAAAGAAGCATACATACTTGTATAGCAGCATACATGCTTGTATGAATAGAAGCATAAATGCTTGTATGCAAAGAAGCATACATGCTTGTATAGCAGCATACATGCTTGTATGAATAGAAGCATAAATGCTTGTATGCAAAGAAGCATACATGCTTGTATGAACAGAAGCATACATGCTTGTATGAACAGAAGCATACATGCTTGTATAACAGCATAAATATTTGTATGTATTGCAGCATACATGCTTGTATAGAAACATACATGTTTGTACGTATAGCAGCATACATGCTTGTATGAATAGCGTCATACATGCTTGCATAGCAGCATACGTATTTGTATGTATAGCAGCATACATTCTTGTACAGAAACATACATGCTTGTACGTATAGCAGCATACATGCTTGTATGTATAGCAGCATACATGCTTGTATGCATAGCAGCATATATGCTTGTATGTAGAGAAGCATACATGTATTAATAGAAGCATACATGTAAGAATAGAAGAATACATACTTGTATGAATAGAAGCATACATACTTGTATGGATAGAAGCATACATACTTGTATGAATAGAAGCATACATGTTTGTATAGCAACATACATGCTTGTACGTATAGCAGCATACATGCTTGTATGAATACCGGCATACAAGCTTGCATAACAGCATACATATTTGTATATATAGCAGCATACATGCTTGTATAGAAAAATACATGCTTGTATGTATAGCAGCATATATGTTTGTATGTATAGCAGCATACATGCATGCAGATAAGCATACATGCTTGTATGTACAGCAGCATGCATGCTAGCATGAATAGCAGTATGCATGGTAGCATGCATAGCAGCATACATGCTTGTATAACAGCACACATGCTAGCATGTATAGCAGCATACAAGCTTATATGTACAGAATCATATATGCTTGTATGTACAACAGCATGCATGCTTGTATAAATAGCAGCATACATGTTAGCATGTATAGCAGTATGCATGTTAGCTTGTATAGCAGCATACATGCTAGCATGTATAGCAGCATACATGCTAGCATGTATAGCAGTATGCATGTTAGGTTGTATAGCAGCATACATGCTAGCATGTATAGCAGCATACATGCTAGCATGTATAGCAGCATACATGCTATCATGTATAGCAACATACATGCTTGTATGTATAACAACATGCATGGTAGTGTGTGAGAGGGATGGTAGCAGGTAGCTGCTGACACTGGGCAACATAACGTAACACTTACTACTGAGCAACACAAGGTAACACTCACCACTGAACTACACAAGGTAACACTCACCACTGAACTACACAAGGCAACACTCACCACTGAACTACACAAGGTAACACTCACCACTGAACTACACAAGGTAACACTCACCACTGAACTACACAAGGTAACACTCGCCACTGAACTACACAAGGTAACACTCGCCACTGAACTACACAAGGTAACACTCACCACTGAACTACACAAGGTAACACTCACCACTGAACTACACAAGGTAACACTCACCACTGAACTACACAAGGTAACACTCGCCACTGAACTACACAAGGTAACACTCACCACTGA